AAAAAATCAGACCTCCCAAATTTAAAGACCCAATCCAAAAATGGGCATCTGAAATGAACAGACATTTCTCACACAAAGAAGTAGACATGGCAAATCGGGCTGGGGATTTAGCTCAGTGGTTTTGACGCCTGCTGCGCAAGCATGAGGATCCGAGTTTGATCCCCAGTACCAAAAAAAATGAACAGACATTTCTCACACAAAGAAGTAGACATGGCAAATCGGGCTGGGGATTTAGCTCAGTGGTTTCGCCGCCTGCTGCGCAAGCATGAGGATCCGAGTTCGATCCCCGGTACCAAAAAAAAAAAAAAAAAGTTATCCATGATTCCAGACAGAATCCTACTGTTACTGACTGATGAGTGAGCAGATGCTTTGGAGTCACTTAACCCACGTGTGTAACAAAAATACCCACAAATCCGTGACTAGAAATCTCAGATGCTGGTACACGACTTTAGACCATTTTTTTTTCCCTCTCTGAACCTCGGCAATCTCAGCTGTAAAATAATGTTGATAGCCCTCTCTGTGCTTAGTTCATAAGTTGAGGAGCAGCGCAAATGAAAATGTGAAAGCCATTTTTACTTAGATCTGGCCACAGGTCGTTTGGAATGGAATGTCTAATATGTCATATCCCGAGGCATAATCAAAGCCTACTGCGGAGCCTGACAATATCTGCAGGGTCTTAGGGCCTGCAGTTGTACAGAATCTCAACTGTAGAGGGTCCCAGGAGGCTAGCAAGCACTAGGGTAGGGGAGGGAAGCCACGTGTCTCTTAAATAGCCGGGGGCAGCTGGGGCTAACTTCAGGGAGCCAGCGGTCCCACGTGCGGGCGCCAAGAGGCGGGACCGGTCGGCCCCAGCGCGCTGCCGCTCATTCTAGGGGACTCCTCCCGATTCAGCTTAGTGACTCTGGGCAGACCCTTCTCTTTGCTGGAACTATCTACAGAAAAAGAGGTGGCTACAGATGACCAGTTAGCGCCCTCGGGGAGAACAAGAAGGTTCCGGCCCAGCCTCGGAGAGTTACCTCGAAACGGGGGCATCCCAGGGATCGCGCCCGCGCCTGGGCCCACGCAGACAAGAAAGACAGAGGTCCGCGCCGCGAAGCCGAAGAGGCCCCCCGGCACTGCATCGCTGCTGCGGGTGCAGTACCAGTTGGGGGAAGGCGGCAGCGTTTGCGGCTCTGGCCCCATTATTCTCCGAGGCTGAAGGAAGAGACCTTTCACAACCCCAAGCCGAAGCCCGGAAAGGGGCGGAGCAGGCTCCAGGCCCCGCCTCTTCGGCCGCCGCTATGGTGCGCGCAGAGGCCCATCCTGCGCCGCGAGCTCCTTTCGAGAGGTTGGGGGCGGCGCGCTCTGAGATCAGCCTCCCAAATTGGCCGGGGCGGGGGAGCTGGTGCTGCTTCAATCCAGCCCCGAGGTTAGGCATTCTTACTTCCCCCAGCAAGGCTTGTAATTAAGGAGCCACCACCCCACACTGCCGCTTTGCTCTTTGGACCTGTTACTCTCCCCTATTTTTTGAACGCTGTGTGTCAGAGCACTTTGTTAGTTTTGGAGGTGTTTGAATGGTCTCTAAAAAAGCCAATTAACCAAAAGATAAAAGGACGAACCAGAAAAGGAAGAGTTTCTGCAACTGGGTGCGAATTTGGATTCTGGGTCCTTGGTATTCAAAGATTGCAGAGAAACCGAGTGGAGTGGCTTTTTTAATTTGCTTGACTGAGCGCCTCCTGTGCTAAGGGAACTATGTGGTAAGTGATGTGGAGGAAAAAGAATGTAAGTCTTCTTCCAGCTCAGAACGGCAGACGGGCTCAGATTCTGCTCTACTCCTGTACTGCTTGTTTGCATTCCGCCCTGGGACTTCCGAAGAACATGTAGCAAAGCGAAATCTGATAGGGTCAACATACATTTGGAGGCACTGACTTTGGAGGCACCCAGCCCTATACTGATCACTACTTTTGTCGGGGGTTATTTGAGACTTTAATCTATCCTAATGTTTCTGATTGGAAGATACTTCTTGCTGTGTTGGACTGCTAGGAGGCCTAAATGAGCTTTAGTGGAATGCCTGTTGAGTATATGTAGTCATTACTGACAAGAAACCCGAGGCCCACCAGTGTGGGGAACTTTGTTCTCCTATTCCTTTCAGACCATTTGTGAAGTGGCTTACAATATTTCTGGAATTCCCGGAAAACACACTAGTTTTCTGTCCTTAAATCATTCATTCTCCACTTTCGCGGTCTCCAGGACACCTGTTTCCGGATTGGGACGCAACCTGGAGTATTGCGCCTGCGTGTTGTCAGACGGTAATTGAACGCGGAGGCTTCCGTAGGGGGCGGGAAGGAAGATGGCGGCGGCCGTCCTCAGAGAGTTGGGTAAGGATTTCTGCGATTAAAGGGCAAAAGAAGGGAGTTAAGACGAGAATCTGAGTTGATCTCTTGAATTAATGTTTCAGGCACATTATGGATACAGAATTTGAGGAGCCGGGGGACTCTGGCCTTGGGGTAAGTCTCCCCTTGCTGTCTTAGGAAGGTCCAAGGCCTGCCCATTAGTCTGTCACTTGCTGAACGCTTATGTGTTACGTTGTGTTTCAGGCTCTCGGGCAACAGGGAGAGCTTCAGTCTCTGATTTGATACACTGTATTTACCACATCATATTGGGTAGCCCTGCGGGGACCAGGATTTCTCATTGCCCAAGGGTTGTGAATGTATTTTTGGAACAGTTCTTATGCTCTTTTTTTTTTTTTGGTACCGGGGATCGAACTCGGGTCCTTGGGCTTTTTATGCTCTTTCAGAACATGATTGGATTCTTCCACGTATACATGGGAGAGACCAACTTTTCTAGTTACCTCTTTAGTTACTTGCTCACGTGAGCAGGGACTGTGTACGTGCTTCACATCCTGGTTGACGTTGTGTTGAACTCTTACTATGCATTATCTTTTCTCGTCCCGGGTACACAGTAAGTACTCTATGCCCATTTTTCAGACAAGGAAATTGAAGTCCTCAAATGTAACATAGTTTGTCCAGTGCTACTCACTTACAGGAAATTTTAAAGTCTTTAACTCTTAGAGCATTCTCTCGTCTCAGGACAAAAGCGTTCCTTAAAAGTTAGGGAATGTGGTGAGTTGAGTTTGGCCTAGCAAGAAGCCTGCCTCTCCCCTTCAGCAGTACAGTATTTGACATTTGGAAATTGATACTGTGGTTGTAAATTTTCTGATTTGTGTATTTCTTAGCATTTATTTTGGTTTAGTTCGGAGACTTCAAGACAGGTATGTTGGGTATAAATTAAACTGTGATTTTGGAAAAGTTACTTTCCTCTTTCTAAGCTTCAGTTATCTCTTAAGTGATATGAGAGTAATATTAGTACCTATCTCATAGATTTTAAACACGGTTAAAAAATATAATGCTTATGAAATGTGTAGCACAGCTCGTGGCATATAATCCCTGTAAGTTCTAATAGCTAATCATGTTTATCATCATGAATTACTAGTGTTTTTTGTTATATTGCAAATTATTGAGTTCTCTTTATACTTCTGTCCTAGATTCATGATTCTGAAGGGATGAAGTCGTGGGCTGAAGAGGAAAATAGGAAGCCCTTAGGATTTGTCTAAATTTTGCTTTCTTAAATTATCTTGTATCCCAGCCGTACTGATTTACTTACTTTTTTTTTTTTTTTTTGGTACTGGGGATCAAACTCGGGACCTTGTGCTTGTGAGGCAGGTGGCAGAACCACTGAGCTAAATCCCTGGGCCTTGATTTACTTACTTTTTCTGAAGATGCTGTGCATTTACTTCTTGGCTTTTTCTTGCTGTGACCCTAACTTCTTGTAACAGCATTCCTACTTTTATTCAAATCCCTTCTCAGATAGTTCCCTTTTAGGATGTTTTCTCAGATCTTTCTAAAATGAAAAGAAATGAATCTCTCCTTTGGCTTAGTATGTGTGAATTGTATAATGGCTTTGTACAGAGGTATCTGTGCCTTTTACTAGCTTGGGTATCTTGGAGAAGTAGGGCCAGTTCTTGTTTCTCTTTGTAGCTTTGGCATTGGGTCTAAAAGTATTTTGATAATGTTTGTTAATTTGATTGGATTTTTTTTTTTTTTTCTGTACTGAGGCTTGACCCCATGGCCTTCGTACTGAGCTAAGCCTTTTTTGTTTTTATATTTTGAGACAGAGTCTCACTAAGTTAGTTGCTAAGTTGCCCAAGACTGGGCTCCAACTTGTGATCCTTCTGCCTCAGCCTTTCAGAGTGTTGGGAATATAGACTTGTACCACAACACTCCTCTAATTTGAATTGTTTTGCACTGACTTAATATTAGGAAACTCTGAGCAAATATCTTAAGCAATTTGGCCTCATTTATATTTTATATAATATATAAAAGTGTTGGTTTTGCTAGATAATCTGTAAGGCTCTTTGCAGTTTTTTTTTTTGAGTCAAATCCAAATTGTTACGGTTTATTATCTCTTATTAATATACCTCTAAATGTAGTTTGCTACTTTTCGCGTAAGACTTTTACATCTATATTCATAATTGGTCCTTTCCTTCCCATACTATTCTTGTCAAATTTAGGTGCCAAGAATAACAGCCTCAAAAGTGTGCCCACTTTTTCCGTGTTCTGGAATAGTTCATATGAAATTATAGTTGTTGTTCCTCAAATATTTACTAGTATCCACTAGTACAATACCTGGATCTGGTTGTCTTCTTTGAAGTCTGATTCTATGCCTTTATTATAAGTCCCATCAGCTTTTATTTCTACTTGAGAAGGTTTGGGCAGTTTTTTTCCAGAAATTTGACCATTAAAACTTCCAAATATATTGGCAAAATGAAATTGTCATTGTTCTAATTTCTACAGATTCAAGAATTACATCCCCTTTTCCATTCCTGAGATATATATCTACTTCTGTTCTTCTTTCCTTTATTACTTTTCGTAGAGTTTTAGCCTTTTTCTTTTTTTTCAGAAAAATCAGCATTTGGCTTTGTTGATCTTTTCTGTTTCATTTTTGTTTCAATTTTATTCCTGTTTTTTATTATTACTTATTGTTTATATTTTTCTACTTTATATGTTCTTGTTCTGCTACTCTTTTTCTTTCTTTGGATGTTTAACTCATTATATTCAGCCTTTATTTCTATTCTAATGGAATTATTTAAAATTTTGTAATAGTTCCACTGTGATCATGAATTTGCCTATTTCTTTTCACAGTGCTGCCAATTTTTACTTTGTATCTGTTGAAGCTATGTTCCTTGGTGAATACATACTATTTGTATCAGTTATCTTCCTGGTGAATTTAATCTGTTATTATTTAGTGATCCTCTTGCTTTTTTATTATTCTAGTTTTGCGATACATAATGTTTACATACCTTGTGAGAAGTTATTATATGTACATAACACATCTTAATTCCTTTTCACATCTTCTTCCATTGTTGTTATTTGTTTTTATTTTTTGGTTCCTTGGATTAAACCTGGAGCCTTCACACTGATCTTCATCCCCAGCACTTTTCATTTTTTACTTTGAGGCAGGGTCTTACTAAGTTGTTAATATGCCCAGACTGGGTTTGAACTTGCGATCCCCCTGTCTCCACCTGATTGCTGGGATTGCAGGTATGCACCAGCACATCCAGCTTTAGTTTTGGTTTACTTTGCAGTGATTGGGATAGAGCCCAGGACCTCATGTGTACTCGGCAGGTTTTCTGCTCTGAGGTACACCCCTGGCCTCCGGGATCTTCTTCGGATCCTCTTCATCTCTCGCAATGCTTTAAGGCCTTAATTTTTTCACTTCAAAATATCTATAATCAGGCTCTTCTTGCTATTTTCCTGGAATATTCTTTTTTGTCCTTTACTTTCAGCCTTTCATTATCTTTGTGCATTATTACAACAACTACTACTACTACTATTACTCATACTACTACTAGTACTACTATTTAGAAGTGCTGGGGATTGAACTCAGGGCCTTATGCCTGCTAGACCAGTGCTCTACCAACAGCTGTATCCCCAGGTTTTCTACTGCAGATACGGCTCCCCTCTACTATAAACAGGTAGGCTTTTTTTTTGTCTGTTCTGTTAAGTATTATCTTTCTATTGGAATATTTTGTATATTTATATTCAGTGTAATTACTGATATACTTGTATTTAAAATTAGCACTTTATCTTTTATATTCTATTTGTTCTATTTAAAAATTTTTCATTTTCTTTACTTTCTGGATTTGTGAAGTATATTTCTCATTCCATTCATTTTCTATTACTACATTTGAAAGTCACACTTGGTCTTTTCTCTCTGCCTGCTTTTAGAGTTATCATTTTGTCCCCATGATGTACAAAGGAACATAATTTTTTGTTTATCCTCTTTGGGATTCTTTGGATTTCCTCTATCTGAGGGTAATTTTCTTCTTTTAGTTTTGTAACATTTCCAACCGTTGTCTCCTCTGATATTACTCTTCCTGCTTTCTCCTATTCTGTTAACCAAATACAAGCACTTCAGTCCTTCTCACCTATACCTAGGTCGGCAACCCCTTAGCTTTGCCTCCCTCCTGCATTCTGGGGGAAATCTTCAGCACCATCTTCTAGTTCTCTTCAGTTACATCTAATTTGCTCTTAAATTCCCACATTGATTTTTAAAATTTTAATTATATTTTCCATTCTTAGAAAATATATTTAGGTGTTTAAAAATTACCAAGAAAATTTATTACAGTATTATGGTTTGCTCATATTTTCAGCTTCCCTAATTTCTTAAAACATGTCTGTTTTTATTCTGGTCTTTTTGTTTGTTTGTTTTGGTACCGGGGATCGAACTCAGGTCCTTGTGCTTGTGCAGCAGGTGGCGAAACCACTGAGCTAAAATCCCTGGCCCAATTCTGGTCTTCATAGTTCCCTATCTACTGGCTCTCACTTTGGTATCGTGCTTCCTTCTATTTTTACATTTTGGCTGTGAGATCATACTGCTTGGATAGTGACCGTCAAAACTACTGAAGTCTGTGTAGAGCACAGGTTTGTGTCAGTGCTGCCAGGTACATGGGAACATACCCAGCCAGGACTGCTTCAACCCTCATTATTGGTCTCAGCCTTCCCAAGTCCAGTCTGTGAATTCTTTTTGAAAATTCAGTTCACGATTCTTGTCCTTTTGACCTCTGCCCAGCAGGTCTGAGGAAGGCAATTTTCTTTTTCTGGGGAAGAGAGGCCATAGGTATTTGTACTATACCCTCAGGCTAGAGCCTTGGGGCCTGCCGGAGTCTTGGTTATAGGAGAAAGGGTTTTCTCCCCATACCTCTAACATCATAAAAATCAAATCTCCAGGTTACCTGCGTTGGATAAATACTCTCATAGCAAAAGATTGCCTCAGAGCCTGATTTTCAAAATCTGTTGAGTTTTTGGCTTCTTAGAAATTCTTCACTTTCCCGCCTTCTCATTGATATTTTTAAAGGATTGCTGAAATATTTTATCCATAATTTAAAATTGTTTGAAGTGGGCGAGTCAGCTAAGGTATTCAGTCTCCCACACAGCCAGAAACAAAA